AAACATATATTTTATTCAAAAATAAAAACATTATCGCTTTCTCAAAATCACATAAAGCCATATTATAATATCGACTGAGATAAAGAAGAAAATGAAATATKAAAATCATGATGTATCTCGCTGCATTGCGCGAGTACGCTTCTAGTTACTCAAAATGACTATGTCACAAATATCAATTTCCCTTAACGATTAATCACTCAGAATTCACTCACTACCCCATTGATCATCATTCTATCACATACTAGGTTATTCAGGCACACACATGTAACTGTAAGTTCATAATTACATTGTCAATGTACAACCATGAACGCACCGTACATGAAAGTTCTTGCTACCACCAACATGATTTATGATCTAGTGAATCTATTGACCGTGAAATATGTTATCTCAAAGTGCTTAATCATACATTCTCACTTTCATTCGCTTACACTAACGCTAGGTTTGAGCTAGGCATCCTTCGGGTGTTTACGTGGCTCCGCCCCTATTAACGGCAACCTCAATCACTACCACATGGAACTCACTCCCTAGGAACCACATACGATGAAGCTAAGGTGGCTCTGCCCATGTGTTGCATAAATTGAACATGAACTTGAACTTGAACTTGTTACTTATTGAGCAGTCATTTTGCTCCTTTGCCTATCGAGCTACACGTTTGAGGGCTTCTTGAATATATAAGAGAAGCTTAAATAAAAAAGAATCTAGTAGATAGTAAGAGCCATAAATCTTAATGGCAAAAAAGCTCTTAATGTGGTCTACAACTTTTCTTAACTTTCCCAAAGGGCCTTTGGCCTAGCGGTATCGTAGCCCTTGGCCTTCTAAGAGGTCAGTGGTTCAAACTTCACCATAGGTGAGGAGGGTGTATGAGTTTATTTGTTGCATTTGCCGTATATAAATATTATATACTTCCCAAAAAAAAAAAACTTTTCTTAACTTTTATCGCTTGTTTTTTTTTTTTGTCAAAGTTATCAAGATATTTTCATAAAACCGGTACTAAGTTTATTGAACTGGAAATCATGAATTCATGACTTCTCCTTAATACTATGAGCGGGGTTTTTTGCCTTTTAAAAAATAAAAAGGTAAACAAATACTTGTACATTTTACTCTTGAAATCCTTCTTTTTGTTTGGTTTTGTCGTTTTTAAAACGAAACAGTTGGTTTTTGCATCGACTCCGAATGTAAATTACTTGCTCTTTGCAAGTCTTTTGTTTAAAATAGCCATTTATGATACCTTCGATGGTCGTTTGGCAAGTTTATGCGATTACATTACCATATTACTACAGATTGTAGGCGTCGTTATTCATACCAACCAACATTCTTGTATACGCTCTTGTTTCTTTTTCAGGTTGGTTGCTATTAGCCGAGCGGCCTTGAAAAGTGTCACGAAGACGACGGTCTAACCCAACGGCATCATCCCCTTTGAACCATTGGCCACCAAAAAGAACATTGAAAGCAAGATTTTATTTGATACTTCAATTATGAATGTCTTGGTCTTTTTATAGTTGCGTTTCAAAAGGCAACAAGTTTTGATTATACAATCTGAATTGGCTGTTTAACTTAACGACCTCTTATCAAAGTCATTTTTACAAACTAATATTCTAGTGTATTTGTAGGATTTTACTAAAGAAATATGTTTTACACCAAAAGCCGAGTGTTTAACACAAGAAACAAAACATTTAAAATGACAGTCTTAACTCAAATCTCATATAAGGCCATTTAACTAAATGATCCGAGTTTTTCCACTGTGAGGAGAGTCATCTTTATCATGATCGACAATCATACACATTCTCAATGGCAAAAAAACAAAAAAGGAACATGGATAAGGATGCTCACACGGGTCGAGTCTAATAAGCTTATATCTGGTTATTTTGGTAACCGTGAATGTTTGTGCCAGCTTAAGCATCTCTCAAATAATCCCACGGGACCTGAGAATAACAACCAAGTAAATCCCATGCCATGTGAAGACACGAACTGACAGCCTATGGGGGGCCAGCCCCGAGGTGCAAGGCCAGATGCCTAGCTTTTATTTGCCAGTTGGGCTGGCATAACTTGTATATGAATTTGCATTCAAAATCGTGGAACGAAGAACATAATTGAGCATCAAACGTCCAAGTAAACGTAAACGTACACGATAAGATAGATGGTCAGGTACCACATCCAATAATGAGACTTTTTGCTAATTTTTGAAAGGGCAAGTACACTTGATCTGCCAATAAGATAGATGTAACCCTAAAATTGCAAATTTTTCTACAAATGGTATGGCACAAAGACCTTAAATATCAATAATAGTCTCATTCTGATATAACTTTCTATATATAGAAAGGAGGTACCTCAGCCAATCACACATCTGCAACCGCGGGTTTCCTGATTTCTCACTGGCTAACGATGATGTGCGTGATGTTGGGCAGTCTGGGATTCATGTGGTTCGCCCAAAGCTATTGCCTAACTGCATATGAAGCCACTCAGGTTGGGACCCTGGTCCGAACTGTCTTGCTGTTTGTGAGCCAAATAAGAATCCGGCTGCATCGAGGGGTGGTGGCCCGAGCTGCAACACAAGTTATATGGGTGAAATGGCATGTAGAAAAGAAATTGGATTACGTTGCAAGCATGACAGGTATAAAATACGAGTTATTTAGCTTAATGACCTTCTCCAGAAGCTAAAGTTGGTTTTGCAAAATGACCATCTAGTTATTTCTAAGGTCCCGTTTGATTTGTAGGATTGAGTAGGGTTTTGAGGGATTTGGAATTGAATTCCATTCCAATCCCACTTTTCGTTTTAAGGAAATTCCAGAATTGAAATCCCATTATAGACCCCCGGATTTCGCGAAAGTGTATGTGAGAAAAAAGTTTGACCTCTAAAAGCAAAGCTTTATCCAGTTCAACTGATGCTTAATCTCGAACTGGAGGTTGATCGGAGGGCCAAAATCTCTTTACATTCGTTGTATTTCTGGTTATTGATGGTCTACAAGGAGATGCCATCATCATTACCGCCTACAAAATCGCACCATCTGACCTGACCCTACTCCAAGCGGGACATACCGGGTACGTTTGGTTTATTACAGATTACTGGCAATCGAACAATTTGTTCCTTCCACAAAGCCAATAAACCAATGTTTACTAACATGCGTCTATAATGGAGTTGTATTAGGCTATAAACCGTCGAATGAACTATTCCTATAAGCAACATATCAACCGGGCTTCACAACTTCAACTGAAACTAAACCACAAGATCGAGATGTGATAGTAGGTCCTATTTAAACCCAGTTCAGCGAATTAGGTCGCGAGTAGTGTCAAAAGACCACAATCATACGTTTCCTGAAAAAGTTTCACCTTTTCAAGCAAGACATAGCAATACGTTCACAAAGAATCTACAAGCATGCTTAGAACCATCACACTCCCAATTAGAACTCTAAGGGGCTGTTTGTTAGTAGCTTAATGAGCATAATGGGACTCACAACTTATTCAGTCAGCTATACATGACTGTTTGGTAGTGGCTTATTCAGTAAGCTTCTACGGAGGAGCTTTTTGCAGAAAGCCAAGTTTTTACCAAACCTGCCCCCAACTAAAAACACACTCCTTCCATCTATGAGAAAACCCTCCCACACAAAAACTTCTCCAATCTATACAGACAGATTCATCGACTCGGACAATTTAATCCATACATGACTTAATGGAAAACCAACCAATCAGCCCCTAAGACCAGCCAGATGTCAACAGTTCAAATCCCCACAAGGCCACCGGAGGGATTGCCCAACTGTTAACTTCAGGACCCCATGAGATCAATCGAGATTTGCTCAAGCTAGCCCAGACACCCACATTTACAACAAAAAAAGAACTCCAAGACTCGACAAAAAGATTAAGTAAACATCGTTAATGCACCAAAACTTACATCTTTTGTAGGAAACCCTTCTACAGGAGAGTTCATCCTCGTATTTACAGCTTCAAGCTTCATAGACAAGAACTACAACATAAAAAAAAACGCACACGGTATGGTGTCAAATTCATCAATAATTGCATAAAAAACTTATGAATTTGATAAATAAATAAAAAGTACCTCAACTTGATGTTGCAATGATTGGATGTAATTGATTATTTCATCAAGAACAAGCGCTTTTCCGATCACCTGATAAACAGGATCAAAATCAATCACCTTTTGCTACAAAACCCACAAAAAGAAGATCCTTAAAACTAAAAATGAGCACACCTTGTTGCATCCAGGCACCAAATCTTGTAGGATTTTCATTCTTTCACTGATCTTTTCTCTCCTAGCCTGAAACAATGAGTTCAAATCATCAAAAGCTGTCAAATTGAGTTTATAATCATCAAAGAACTGACAAATTTGGGTTTAAATCATCCAAAAGCTGTCAAATTTGGGTTTAAATCATCCAAAAACTGTCAAATTTGGGTTTAAATCATCAAAAAACTATCTTAAATCAGCAAAGAACTGTCAGATTGAGATTAAATCATCAAAGAGAAGTCAAATGGAGATCAAATCAGCGAAGAGCGGTTGAATTCAGTTTAAATCATCAAAGAACTGTCAGATTGAGTTTAAATCATCAAAGAACTATCAAATTGGGTTTAAATCATCAAAACAACTGTCAAATTGAGTTCAAATCATCAAAAAGAACTTCCAAATTGAGTTTAAATCATCTAAAGAACTGTTCCCAATTGAGTTCAAATAATCAAAGAACTGCCAAATTCAGTTTAAATCATCGAAGAACTATCAAATATGTGGGAATATAGAACAAAAATGGGGATTGAGTTTACCCTTTCGGCAAGACTGTGGCTATCAGTGGCTTGACCTCTTCTAGCTCGAACATGAATGTAATCTTTAGGTGGTTCAGAAGGTTTATGGGTTTGACCAACACCACCTTTGCTTGCTGACCCTGAACTCCCTTCTCGATCCATCTTTGAAAAACCACCCAATTCTTCTTTCGATCCTGACATCTTCATTCTTTTACCATTTAATTTGATCTGCCAATTTCATGAAAAACAAATGATTTAAAGAGTTTTTACACAAATTCATCACAGAAATACAATCAATGGAATCAAATCAAGTTTATATAAAGCAATGTAATTCAAACAAATCAAACAGTTTCAGAAGGATTTAAACGAGATTACAAATCGAAATACATCAACAACTGATGGATTGAGCAAAAAGATGTTCACCAAATTGAACTAATTAGGGCTCCGATTTCAAATTCAGACGAAAATTCGATGTCATCGATAAACTAATTGAAGGGGAAATTACCAAATCATTGCCACTACTAGTAGATACAAGCTTTGAAGATTCATCTTCCGAATTGGCATCCCTCCGTTTCCGGGCACCGCCACTATGCTCCGTCACCGTGGATTCCTCATCGCGGTTGTTATTAGGTTCCCCAAGTCGACTGATAAGGCTACCCATTTTGAGTCCCAAACTCTCATTCCGACCGCCATTGAAGGAGGAAAACGTCCAGATCCCGGTTAAACTGTAAGACGAAGGATTGGCCGCCGAGAACGAGGTCTCATTGATGATTGGTGGATCCATAAAGATACATACAATGTATGTGCATACACAAAATGTATATATGAAGTGAAGGAATTAATGGTGTTAGGTTGAAGACTAAAGATGGAAAATTTGATATGGTTTTGACTGAGCTGATCTGGGTTGATTCCCAAAATTCTTGTTTCTTTGTGGCAAAATCGGCTATTTAATAATCAGATTTTTGAAACCCATTTGTATATTATATATAGATATACATACATATACATCATGTATGTATATATATATATATACACTACACTGTAAGTAAATATGAAGTAGTGAATGATTAATGATGGATTTGCGAGTGATGGAGATGATGGAGTGTTGTAATGCGCTTACGGCGCATTTTAAGCAACGTCTATCAAATACCCAAATTATATAAAGAAAAAAAGTGCGACATGATAGCATAATAGAATGACGATACAACTTTTAGGTTGTGTTTGGATCTGTTTATAAATATTTAATTATTAACATAAAAAATTAATTAAACTAATTATACAAGTATCTTTTAACAGCTATATAATATCCACAAATTACAATATAATTAAATATAATATGATCAATAAAATTAATCTTTTATCAATTTCTTAAAATAATCATATATTCCTTAAATCACTTTTATGCAGAAATTCCTTCTCAAGAACACTCGTCGTCACTACCTCTTTCTTTTTAACAAGATAATAAGAAGTAACTTTTTGATCTTATCTCTTTTATATATATATATATATATATATATATATATA